GTGTTTGTGAACTACACACAAAGATAAGAGCGCTACACACGGTACGGTAATGTCACGTGAAAACCACACAACTCCAATTTTGGTGATTTGGAGGATCAGAAGTATTTAGAGGAGTTGCGTGTTTTTAACATTCAAACCTCGTAACGTGTGTAGTGCTCTGATCTTTGCAGTACAAGTAGTAGTACTACAGTGTACAAATACAAGTACTCTGCTACAAGTAAAAGTCATGCATTCAAAATAGTGCTTAAGTAAAAAATAATCAAAGTATTCTTAAGGTTCCAAAAGTTAAAGTTAAAGTACTCATTCTGCAGAATAAGTACTATATATACACATACACATGTATCTATCTATCTATATATATATATGTATATATATGCTAAAGCTGTCAGATAAATGTAGAGAAGTAAAAGTACAATATTTATTCTGAGATGTAGTAGAAGTAGAAAGTACTTCAGACAGTAGAGCTCCAGAACAACTCTTCTGGTTTCAATAATCAATAATCATTGCGTCTGTCCTCAGTGTGACTCGTGTCCATCGTCTCCACCGTCTCCATCGTCTCCACCACCATCCAGTCATGTGTGATGATGAGGAGAGCACCGCTCTGGTCTGTGATAATGGATCAGGTCTCTGTAAGGCCGGCTTCGCTGGAGACGACGCCCCCAGAGCCGTGTTCCCCTCCATCGTGGGCCGGCCACGCCACCAGGTGACCCACGAGCTAATGCTAACACTGGAGAGGAGGCGGTGATTGGTTCGTCTCAGACGCATGTGGACAGGCCGCGCTGTGGATGCAGTTCAACTCTTTATTTATTCCCTCTTTTAAACTTTGAACAATGTGCCAGTCCAATCAGAATGAGTTCACTTTTAACTATACTATACTTATAATTAAAACGTGAATTAGTTAGTGGGGTTCAAAAACACTGTTACTGAATACAAGTTCCTATCTTACGGTTTAGGACGTCCCGGGGAACATTCCACACCTTCACAGCCGTCCCTTCCTCCTCACAGACAGACTCCACCAAAGAAGAACATTAGCTTTACCTCCATGTTGAGCTCATGTTCAGTCTCTGAGAGAGCAACGGTCCCCATGGAGGCTCAGCTGCTACTGACCTTATGACGGAGTCAACTAGCTTCACTATAGTATTGTACATTGCTTTATACCTCCATCCTACCCTAAGTCTCCCCCCTTCGGAGATGTCATCCTCCTCTGAACTTTCACCTAGACAAGTTAAAGTGTGCACCTCGGACAAGTCATAACAGACTAACCACAGTCTCCTTCATCACTTGTTTTCTTCTCGTCTACATGAATACATTTCAAATTATGGATATCATTGATTTTACACAAATACATTTTTTTCCCACAACCTGATTGAGGACTGCAGTCCAAGAAACAGATTGAAATACATTTTCTGTATTGTTTTAAATGTTCTGACATTTTTCTTTGAATCACTTGTCTTTATGATGAACACTGACCTGTCTGTCTCTCTCTCTCCCTCCCTGTCTCCCTCCCTGCCTGTCTGTTCCTCAGGGAGTGATGGTGGGTATGGGACAGAAGGACAGCTATGTAGGAGACGAGGCTCAGAGTAAAAGAGGAATTCTGACCCTCAAATATCCCATCGAACACGGAATCATCACCAACTGGGACGACATGGAGAAGGTCTCTGATCCACATATGAATATACAAAATACTAATAACACGTAGTATTGATCCAGATCAATAACTCCGATGATGTCATCTGCTCTGTGATTGGTCAGATCTGGCATCACTCATTCTACAACGAGCTGCGAGTCGCTCCAGAAGAACATCCCACTCTGCTGACTGAGGCTCCTCTGAACCCTAAAGCTAACAGGGAGAAGATGACACAGGTACTACTACTACCAATACTACTGATGTTACTACTGATGGTACTACTGATGATCCTACATTATACTTCATTACACTACACAGAGAGAAAATGAGAAAGCAGTAATAATAACAATAATACTAATATATATAACAATAATAATTATAATAATAATATGTGTGTTTTCAGATCATGTTCGAGACCTTTAATGTTCCGGCCATGTACGTTGCCATCCAGGCCGTCCTGTCGCTGTACGCCTCCGGACGCACCACAGGTTGGACCTCACTCTTCATCTTCATCTCGTCATCACTGTGACATCACATGTAGAAGACTGAAACATGAGAATGTTAATGAGTGAATTATATTTATAAATCATAAAAACATGATGTCATCTTCATTTAAATGATGCTGCAAGACACACTCACCTGTTTGTCTGTCTCTGCCCGTCTGTCTGTTTCTACCTGTCTGTCTCTGTCGTACCTGTCTCCCCCTCCAGGTATCGTGCTGGACTCTGGAGACGGGGTGACCCACAACGTTCCGATCTACGAGGGCTACGCTCTCCCCCATGCCATCATGAGGTTGGACCTAGCGGGTCGCGACCTCACCGACTACCTCATGAAGATCCTGACGGAGCGCGGCTACAGCTTCGTCACCACAGGTACGTTAGTGTGACCGGTTAGTGTTACCTTGGTAATGTCTGTCTGACCCGGTGCATGTCTCCCTGCAGCTGAGAGGGAGATCGTCAGAGACATCAAGGAGAAGCTCTGCTACGTAGCTCTGGACTTTGAGAACGAGATGGGGACGGCGGCGACATCGTCGTCTCTGGAGAAGAGTTACGAGCTTCCAGACGGACAAGTGATCACCATCGGCAACGAGAGGTTCCGCTGTCCAGAGACCCTGTTCCAGCCCTCCTTCATCGGTCTGTCTGCCTGTCTACTGTCTGTGTCTCTGCCTGTCTGTCTCACCTGTCTGTCCCCTGCCTGTCTCACCTCCTCATCCTTCTTTCTTTAGGTATGGAGTCAGCAGGTATTCATGAGACGACCTACAACAGCATCATGAAGTGTGACATCGACATCCGTAAAGATCTGTACGCCAACAACGTGCTCTCCGGTGGGACCACCATGTACCCGGGTATCGCAGACCGCATGCAGAAGGAGATCACGGCTCTGGCCCCCAGCACCATGAAGATCAAGGTGAGAGACAGACACACCTGTCTGAGGTACAGGGGGCGGGTCCACAGAGTCTAAACCTGTTTGTTGTCCTGCAGATCATCGCCCCCCCAGAGAGGAAGTACTCGGTCTGGATCGGCGGCTCCATCCTGGCCTCTCTGTCCACCTTCCAGCAGATGTGGATCAGCAAGCAGGAGTACGACGAGGCCGGACCCTCCATCGTTCACCGCAAGTGCTTCTAGAGGGACCCGGTCTACAGAGACCTGGTCTGGGTGTCCATCTTCTTCCAGCGCCCCCCCCCCCACACACACACCCCCATCTTATTTTAACCCTCACTGATGACGAGCTAACCAGATCCCAGATCAGATCCAAGCATTCAACAAGAGGCAAACATTTTTTTTTTATTCTGACGGCTCGTTAAAAGGAAGTGATGTCATCGTTTCAGAATCTCCAACCCCCCCAAACATCCTCCTGTGCTCATCTTAAAACTGTGAATGTGCCGCTTGTCCTCGATCTTTAACCCCCACCTCCCCCTCGCTCCACATGTGGCCCTGCCCCCTTTCCCCGTCCTCCATGTTTGTTTGTTGTCAAAGAAGAGTGTTTTTATTTTTGATGAATAAAGCCTGAATGTGTCCCGCTGGTGTTATCTTCCATCGTTATCCAGCACATTCGCAGTATAGTGATGATGTCACACAGTGTAATGATGATGTCACAGCTGTAGGTCAACAGGAGGCGTGGCTCCTGAACATGGTGCTGTCTGTAAAGAAGTGAAGTGTGTGATGGGAGGTCAACAATATGGAAGTGACAGACGATTGCCCCAGGAAGACAATAAAGAGCTCTCATACAAGATAAACTGTGTTTCTGGTTATTTCAACACTTCAATGTCGTTCACTTTCTTCACTTCAGAACAAAACAGTTCTTCTGACACTTCAACTACAATGACAACTTAAATGACAACTGCTTCATTGCTTCAACCGTCACTTCAACTGCTTTCATCACTAAACTTTAGTGGTGTAACGGATCACGGATCGATCCGTGATCCATTGGGATCAGCCCTCACGGTTCGGATCACTCGTGAACCGCAGATCAATTGAGTATTTTTTTTTAATCATCACAGTGTGTAATAACGTTTTACTGCTGCTGTTCCTTTTCAAGTAACAAGTCCCCAAATATCAATGCAGAGTGTCAGTGAACAGATATAAAGCAGTAGTGTGTTCACGTGAACGGAGCAGCTTAAAACCAGTGCTGTATAAAGTACTCAAAAGCCATACTTGAGTAAAAGTAAAGATGCCTTACTGGAAAACTACTCCAGTAAAAGTCACCTATTAGAATACTACTTGAGTAAAAGTCTTAAAGTATCTGATATTTATTGTACTTAATTATCAAAAGTAATTTTCTGATATTAAATGTACTTAAGTATTGAAAGTAAAAGTACAAGTAAATGCTGTTAATAAAAAAGCAAAGGGTCAGCATTATGAAGTTTATTCTTTTAAGTGCTGTGGCACCATGACCAAGGACATGGAGCTGTGTTGAACATAATTGGGTTGGCTGTGATCCATCCAGGAGCAACAATGTTCAACATAATATATTGTACATAAGTATACTTTTGCATCTACTATGAACTTATCATCATAATTCTCCGAAAAGCAATATGACGCTATGAAGGAGTTGTAACAGTGCGTTTATAAGTATGCTCATTCTGACTAGAGGATGTAGAGGGCAAAGGCATCATATTGTGTTCAGCAACAAATATCCACTTGATGCATCAGGTCAGTGTTGTGAGAAAGGACACCTGCCTTGTAAACTCCTATGGGCCTGATTTGAACACAACAGGCAAAGGTTTTGCTCAAGCTGAATCTGCAATTGGGCGACTGCTACCATCATAACTCCATCTGATCATCCACAAAATGACTCAAATATCAAAACATGATCAATGCTAAAGCAGAAAAATGTCCTGTTCATCTTCAAAAGAAGTTGGTTTTCAAAATTGCGAGAACTCCGTCTCGCTCTTCTTGGGCTGAAGACTAGTCCTGATGCTAACTAGCCTTTCACAGGCCGCTGAGGCAGGTAGAGGTGTGTTCAGCTTCACACACAGCTTGCGCACAGCTGGGAAGGATTTCCCTAATGCTAACACTACTGCTAACACTAATGCTGCGCTCTCGCGGCTCCTGTCAATCCTACGGTGTGGTGGCTAGCTAACGTTAAGTTAGCTAACGTTAGCCAACTAGTGCTGCAATGATTATAGCTAAGATGACTCAAATCAACACAATCTCACAACTGTCAACACTTCCTCAGCTCACTAACTCGCTAGCGATCCTCGGGTGTTGGTCTTCGTCACCACCGTAGTTTGTTGAGGGAGCAGCAGGTGCTTCCATTTCTGCTTCCGTCATGAAATCAGTCATCGTAGAGTGGAATTCTGCTCATGTAGTCGCTCGCTAGCTATAGCATATAGCATCCTGGGCATCACTGGGAATCTAAACACCGCGGCTTTGAGAGCACTTGTTTGCAATTGCGCATTAACGTGATTAACCAATGATTTAACTTGCAAGCTAGGACCACTGATTCACCAAACCTGCTTGTTGCAGTCTGTGTTCCACCACAGTCCCCGACGCTGGTCTCATGATTCATGTTGTTTCTAAAGATAGATTTGATTTTGTAGCGAGTAACGAAGGTTTCAGGGGAAATGTATTAGGGGTGGGAATCACCAGAGGTCCCGCGATACGATATTATCACGATACTGCGATATTCTGAGTATTGCGATAACATAGGCCTATATTGCGATTTATTACTTTTTTCAACTTCAAATGATGTCCCCAAAGGAAAACTGTGTCAACATGTTTTATCTAATAAGATAAAGTTTTCAGTCTGTTCATCTCACTTCACTCATTTGTATTGCAGCAAAATAGGATTGTCAAGCAGACAGACTGACCAACAATGTCATAAATGTTGCACCTGACAAACTGAACTGTTTGTATTACTACATAGTCCAACTTAACTAAATGCAAACGTGTGGACTCAGTATATGAACTATAACTTATATAAGTAGGATATAACAGTTATATAACTCAGTATAACTTGTGATGCGTGGACGTCGAGGGCAGAGAGACAGTTGTGCGCTGCACTCTCCCCATGAGTCTGGCTACTGGTGGCAGATTTAACCCCGTTGTGAGGCCAGATTGAGCGTGTGAGCGAAACACTTCACATGCAGGAATCCCGCTAACTGAACGGCAACGCCCACGTTAGAAGCGTTGTTACAACCACCAGGTTTTTGTCGGCAATCCCCCATCTTGTGCTGCATTTAGCAGGAGGTCTGTAATGTTTGCCCCGGTGTGACTTACGTGTACTGCTCTAGTTTGGAGAACGAGAGACAGCAGTCGCCAGTCCTCTGAGATATTGTGCTGTTATAGTCACAGAGGAATCCACTGCGCTTGACGTCCACGCATCGCAAGTTAATGCAACTCTTTCTGCTGTACTCAAAGACTCCTCAACTTTAAGCTTCACTTCTCTGTAGAGCTTAGGCACGGATGTGTCGGTGAAAAAATGCCACGACGGAGTCACATCCACGCGTCTCATCCACGCGTCTCATCCACGCGTCTCATCCACGCGTCTCATCCACGCGTCTCATCCACGCGTCACATCCACGCGTCTCATCCACGCGTCTCATCCACGCGTCTCATC